CAAAATTAATAAATTCGAAAAGTGGGGGGCTAACTTCATACAGGCCAAATCTTGAGTGCAATTTTGCAAATAGATCATGAATTGATGCTGACGTGGAAACTTCAAACAAAGTGCTAATAAGACTTGATCAGAGGTAGTTAGCTAATTTTTTAAATAATTTAAGTAAAGAAACGATTATTAGTTAATAGTTAATGATTGATAAAATTACAAAGTAAATATTTTGATGAGTGTTACTATATTCTAAATAAATATGTATCTAATCTAATGAGGCATATCATACACAAGATAGAGCTTCATCAGACTTATAAGTTTAAGTGTTAATTTGTAAGAGCGTTATATGTCTGTGTAGGACTCAAGTGAACCTTTATAGGGCCTTGATAGAAGAGAAAACTGTCTAGGCTTTTTGTAATCTCCGTTTTCCATTCAGGTTTTTCTTTATTAGTATAGAATAGCTCCGAAAATCTAAAGAGATCGTTTCTTGCTTCGAGGATATTCAAAGTACTAGCAATTATTGATTCACCGTGTATAAAAGAAGAAAAAGTACTCACAGAATACCGCTGACGAATTTTACTAGTAGGAATACATAGTAGGATCGTACACTGCTGCTCAAGATGTTGAGGATCGAGTCGCCTAATAATGCGAGAATGAAAAGCGTTCTCATACCGACGTAGGGCGTTATGTAGTCCCATATGAATGCAGTCGTTGTTATAGCTAGGAAAATCAGATCTTGTGAGATCCCTCGCGAGTTCTGCCGGTCGAGTTTAATTTATGTGTCCTACCTACGTAAGGAATCGCGACGAGGACGCCTTTCCGGAAGAACGTGAGCTCGAGCTCGCACTCGGCCGACGCCAAGATGAACGCACCGGAAGTGGTGTCGAAAGTAGCGGTCCACGCGATTGGTAGCGCGGCGAGCAGCAGCAGCACGTTGAACAATCCATAGCCTGAAATAGCGAGGCAGTGAAATGCATGTGAAACGGTTGTAATTCAATAATCACGCCGGGAAAGAGAGGTCTTACCGATCGCGGAGATGGCTTTGTCGAAGTCAGCCGGTTCGTGAACGTTAGCATTGCCTGAAACACGAAGGAAGGCCTCGTGTTTATTACATAATAAACGGTTAAAAATATATTTCCAAGCATCTAAACAGATGCATTGCGCATTGCTTGCGAGTAAAAATATCCGATTGCACGGCCAATGATTTGTATAACTAATAATTGATGAATTATGATATATAATTTGTGTAATTTACAAACCGTAATTCATAAATATGTCATTTTAATATCTAAAAATACGATCCCCGCCTGTCCACTTACTTCCAGAGAGTTTTAACTTGAAACTTTTCACACATGCACTACGTTAACTTGAAACTTGTTACATATTTCACAACTCGCTGCGCGTCGTTTACAGGTAAACATCCGATTGCGACTGATGATTTATACAATTTATAATTTATGAATTACGATGTATAATTTGTATAATTTGCAATTCGTAATTTTCATGAATACACTATTTCAAGAACTAAAAGTACAGTCCACTTGCTTTTAGGGAGCTTTAACTTTGAACTTTTCATACACGTGCGAAACTCACACTTTTGGCATGATAAAATCGTGTTAAATGAATCTCCATGTCACTCTTACAACTCAATACGGCGATTATATATTAGATCAAATTCACATCTCTACATGTGCGTCAAAAAATACACACCCAATTCGGGTGCTTTGCTAAAATGCGAGTCAAACCGTCAGACTGTCCGGTTGCATCAACAAAAATACCGTGTGTAAACAATTCGCGAGAATTTCCCGCGTATACTCCGAAACTTTCAGGTCGTGAAAAGCTAACGCCCGTCAGTGCGCGTGCACGAGTAAATTACACGACCGTTCGGACTCGGAAGTGTGCCGAGGCGCCGACACCGTCGGGCTTTTCGCGAAAAGGACGTTCTCACCGGTTATCGTGGCGATCTTGTCATTGTCCCGGTCACTCGCGAGCATATCCGACACGGCGAGCTGAAGAGACGACTGCGCTCGACGTGATGTAGTCCCGCTCTTCCCAGCACTCAAAATAGAAGCCCGTCGTCGTCGTCGACGTCGTCGCCGGCGCTCAACCTCGCTGGCGATCTCGTTCGGCCGAGTGTCGTTCGCTCGCTCACTCGTTCGTTGAATTCTCTAAGTAAGGAAAAAATGAGTCGCGCCACGTACAGATTGTCCAGAAAGATTTCTGTCGTCGTGAAGGCAGAGGAGCAGGTGAAACTCGCGCACCGATGATTCAGATATGCGTTTCCTTTCCTCGGCGCGATTCGCAACTTCGCCGTCGATTCTACGCGAACGCGGTTTGATCGGACTCTACAGAAGCGCAAGCGAACTCTGGCCAGCTTCCCGTTCGCAGCCGCTCTGTAACCTGCCAATAAAAACGGGTCAAACGATCCAATTGTCAGGCGCGTCTCAGCTATTTCTCATTAAACGAGCATCTTCAGGTCTCGCCGATGTCGTCGATTATATCAATTTCTTTCTTGATAACATACTCTAATTTTTCTAAGAATAGTTTATCGAGTATCTCCTTGATTTATCTTTTTCTAGATAATTATATATTTTTCTAGAGGTGTGTGATATATTTCTCTTTCTTTCTCTCTCTCTCTCTCTCTCTCTCTCTCTCTCTATATATATATATATATATATATATATATATATATATATATATATATATATATATATATAAAAGAAATACGTGTTTACATAAAACATAAAATTAATTTATATATTTTTTTTAATACGACATGTATGTGTGTACGTGTGTATGTTCCTTTTCATTCGCAGTTTTTATGCTACGAACTTTTTATTTTTATTAAAGCCCGAGGGCATTTTTAATTAAAACTGAAAATACTACCTATTGTGTATCATGATAACACAGCGAGACATTTTCGAATATGACATAGCTTCGATACAAACATATTGTTTTCGATATTACGCGACACTTGAACCGCTGTTATCTCTAATTATACAAAATTAATTTGTCGATGATACCTGTCAAGGGTGCTGTCAGTAATACTGAAAGTTCGTGATTAAAAACATCACATGCTTTGCACCGAGCTCCAGTAGATGGGACGTGGAACTGTACGAAACAAATATTTTTACAATTCCTCGTAATTCCGCGGCGATAAACGGTAACAATCGCGCAAACCACGATACAATTCGAAGCATTAAATTATTACTAACTGAATGGGACATATGTACTGTTTTATTCCCGTGAATTTCAACAAGTTACTATCTCTCGATAAGATAAGCTCGATCACTGAAATTATCACATCCAGGGAATGACTGAAAATATTACAACGCGCATCGCAGCAATATTTTCTGATTTCTCACTGATGCATCGTCGCGATTATCCATCGAGATACGTTCATTCATACCGATAAAACATATTTGTTCAAACCTGCAGCACTTCCGTAAAAACGATATTCACCTTCACGATTCTGTTTATCACGACGATGGGAGAGGAGAGAAAATTTCTATCGCGGGCGCGCGCGCGCGAAGGGGAAATAGCTTCGTATTAAAGCCAAAATGGAGAGCACTCGTGGAAGCGGAGTGAGGAATCGAGGAAAAACTCGCGGCAAGAGTCGGAAGGAGATGCAGATGACCAGGATGAAACTCGGATGGAATCTGTGCGCGAGAAACGAGCGTTGATCAATTCGCGGGCGCGACGCGGCGCGACGCGACTTCCTCCGCGTGCCACTTATCGCGATTACAGATACAGTCACCGTAAATAGACGCTCACAATCGTCGTGAATTGACGCACGTATGCGTGCTGACACTCGCGCATTCCCGTTCACCACGACGCGTGGTGTCCTTAGCTGTCGAGATATGTCTGCAATTAGCGACCAAGAAAGTAGATCGGAACCGATACGCCTGTAATTTCACGCGTGAAATATGTCGAGAATCTCTCCAATTAAGGCCCGTTTCCATTAACGTCCTTAAATATCTATTAAATCTCAACTCAAGTTTAATTCTTTGTTTGAAGATGGCTTAAACTCAGATTAAGATTTAATGTCGTTAATGAGATCGTGCATAAGACCGTGAAAAGAAACAATCGAATTTCGTCGTCGGACGTCGCGATGTCACATCTGTAGGCAGCAATAATCTCGTAATTATCTCGATCTCGGTCTACAAAGTCACGTTTAATGCGCTCAAAGAGACTCGCCCCGTTTCCCCTCCACTTTCCACGGCGTGCATAAATGATAGATACAAAAGCAAACCCCTTTACTCGTTTTTATACTTCGCTGCACTGGGAGGTTGTAAATCCTTATTAAAATTCAACGGTGCACCACCCCCTCTTTGACGCAATTCTGTGTGGCCCATATCGCCCCGCGAGGCACACTGAGAACACGTTACTAATTTAGATAATAGCCGGCCGGGCTAAAAGGACGATTTTTCCTCTGCGCGCTTTTCCCGCCGCAAAGGCGGTCACGTCATTTCTCGTATGCAGACGTACGCTTTACGTCGGCAGAAACGGAAATGGATATTTGATCCGGCGGTGTTACGCCTGGCCTTTGGTCACCTGGCTCTCTCTCTCTCTCTCCCTTTTCCTCGATGTGTCCGACCCAGTTGACAAGAACACGAGAGTGCTACTGAGTTCAAACTGGATTCAAAGTCCTCTCTCTCACTGCTTCCCGACCGGTGATTTTCGCTTACCAGCAAGCTATACATACAAATTGCCGACACGTAGGAAAAGCTCTCGCGCGAGGTGATCGAAACGTTTTCGCTATCATCGCGTTTGACTCTCTAAAGTACATAATTAGTACATATAATACATTATATATATATATATGTATATATAATACAATTAGTATACATAATTAGTATATTCTTTACTAAAATTCTGAAATTCTTCATAATTGATAATTCAGTTATAAATATAGCATTGCCATCACACTGTAAAATCTCGCCGAGAAGAAGTTAATATTAGCTGTTGCTTCAAACGCAGAAAAACTTGGAACGCAGAATTTGTGTATTAAGATAAAAGAGTACTAATCTCTAGAATATATATACATACATTCTACGTTGAAAGTTTAAATATTTGTGTTTGAAAATCAAAATAAGAATGTCCTGAGTTATTAGCGCGCCTAAGCGTTAGTACTTTTATCTTATCGATCTTGTGATGTATCTTGTCTCCTTGGTCAGAGAATCAATGAGATATAAAATGGAACAGTAGAGTGTTCCTACTGGAAATTAATGAATATTTACTGATGAATTTACGATGAAATACTCCTTTTGTTGATTCAATTAGAAACCATTTTACTGATTCACTTTAAGAGAGTGCAAGTCCGGAGTCTGTCTTGTGTCCGGATGCAAAAATACCTATTTTGAAAATGAGCCAATTAACTTGCAATCGTATTATTCTAATATCTTGTTTCATTAGATGAATCTTAGATGTATGCCGAATCTTTTGAACTCTCAAAAGGAAATGTTTAACATTCTTCATCGTAAATTAATTTTTTTATACTACAAAATGGAGAACTCTGGAAAAAGAGTACGCTCTGTTTTAATTATGGAGATAATGAGAGCAAGAAATAACGAGAGAGGAACTGTTTCCATTTCTTCTCATTAGCGGGACGGAATTTACAAGATGGATATTTGTTTAACCGGTTAATGTGACATATGTAATTAGTAGAAATTGATTATTCTTTTTTCGTGCGAAGATTATCTTGTCAGATGCACTCGTCTTGCTTTTATCGCGATCTTGTGTACACTAAAACAGTTAGAACAATGGAGTTTTGCGCGGGCGCGCGCGAGGAGTTAATTGCGCAGACGTAACTACCAGCTATAAATGCCTGTAGTCTAGATAAGCCGATAACGTCGTTATCACTCGGCCAAAATACGCTCTCGCGATATTGGACAGATGCTCGGGCGCAAATAGAGAGGCAAAAATGATGCCTATGAAAAAACGTCGCGCCCCGAATCGGGACACGTGATAAAACACCGGCGATCCTTCGATGAATGACACCGTTAATTCGTCGCAAAAACTGCATCGCTGCTCGGCGCGTGTCGCTTCTGTGCATTCGATGCAGTGCTCGGAATTCCGGAAGAATCATCGTTCGCGCGCAGGTGCACGCGATGGAAATCACGCACTCGCATCGCCGCGTATCGATAATGATGATAGCGCGTCTGCGAGATAGCGCGCGGTGATAATAATTTTTTCTCGTTCCCGTCAGATTATCGAGAACAGATAGATTCTCATTTGCAGTTCCAATTCGCGACGGCGACGAAGGTGTTGTCGCCGTAAAACGTCGTACGCAGCTTATTCCGGCTCGAGTCAAACGAAAAAATGCTGGATAGACATTCTCGCGGTATCCGTATTTATTGCGGCGTCTATTCTCTTTTCAGCTTTTTTTTAACACAAAGCGTGAGAGAGAAGATAGTATAAACATGATAGTATTGATATATATACGATATTGATACGATTCAATGAATTGTATTTAAACAAAATATATCAATACTATCATGAATCGCGCGAATGTAGCTCTATTGATTTTCATTTTTTCGCGCTCCTCCATTTTCTTTTCTATCTCCCCTCTCTCTTTCTCTCGCTCTCTCGATTGTGTCCACCGTTAATTCACCACCATTACGCAAAATTTTATACGCATTTGTTCGCGTCAGATGTATCACGAACGTTAATCATAATCGATTAGGAACCGAAGAAGCGGGATGACTTGGAGGCGGTCGGGCGCGAGAGCAACATAAATTATCTCGGGCGTTGAAGTTCGACGGAAACTTGGGTAATTTCAAAGTCAAGTGCAGTTAGCCGGACAAGCGTAACACACTTATTGTTGAGCGTTCTATCGTAGATGACGTAAATGAAGCGACCTCGTAACCAGTCGGATACTTTTGCTGTAAACCTTCACTGAAGCCGGGCAAACAGCCACCGTCGACCACCACCCACACGTCAACTCCCTTCATTCGCCCTCCACCACCTACGCCTTCCCCTTCTCCACCACTACTACCATCACCATCACCCTGTGCTCTGCGCGCTCGATGGGGTAACTCCCTTAATGAGTTTCTCGGGTATTCGATGCGGAATGCGGGCTCTATTCAAACTTGTTTGGCTTTCGTAACGCCCGCTCTCCGGGATTCTTACGGCATTGCGTTGAGAACCGTAACGATATCTCGTTCCTTTAGTATCTACTTAGCTCTCGGCCGATTCATGACTCATATCGTTGGATCCCTTTTGCTCGACCGCGCGCGGAATCTCTACGTCCTGAGTAATTTAATGAGAAATATTCGCGTTAAAAGCAGAACGGTAGAAGCACCAATTCCCGGACATATATTGAACATTCTTATTGTTTTGGGCATTCTCATTGGTCCTTAATTACAAATATTCAAACCTTCAAGATAAAATATGTACACATACACGAATACCGATTTTCGGACACATACGTGATTCTTGCCACTCGTGTTGTTTTGGTCTTTAAATATCAATATTTAAACTTTTAGTATAGGATACATGGATATATTCAATATATGCATATATATTTTTATGTTACAAGTTTAAATTTGACTTTTTCTTAAATTTTTTCTCAAATTTGAAAGACGATTCGTTTTCGACGCAGATCAACAGATTGGCTCGGCACAGTCTCTTGGCGGCTCACGGTCGCAACGATATTTATATCCCAACGCCGCAATTATCTTGATTGGTCTTATTTTTGCAACGTATCCCAAGGAAACTTGATCAGTAAAATACGTAATTATTATTCCGAGCAATTACCGGAACCGTCGTTGAACGTTTGTTCGTATACAAATGAAGAAATTTAAATTAGGGGAACTAAAGAATATATTCTCGATTAATTAAAAGACTCGCAAACTCGTATAATCAGAATAATTGAAGTGGCACTTACGCTCGGTTACAATCACGAATCTGTTTGCGATACATTCACGTGATTCGCCTCTTTCCTCGAGTAAAAATTAGATCTCGCGAGTGTCTAGTCACGAAGTAGCAAATTCATGTTTAATCGTTCCTATCTGAATTTTTTTACTGATAATATGTCAATAATGTAGAGCTATCTTCTTCTGGCAGCTATCTAAAAGAGTTAACTAGTGGCTAAATAAGAGTAATTATAAGTAATTACTTTTATCTATAAGAGTAATTACAAGTAATTGAGTAATTACATACTTACAAATGGAAAATCATAAATAAATTAGCTAATGACTAGATAAAACAAATTGCATAGTTATGAGGTAAAATAACTCGACTGAATCGATTGGATTGGCGCAATCTTTTACGATACACGGCTGCACAACGATATCTATATCCCGGCGCCGCAATTACCTCGATTAGTCCTACTTTCGTAAACACACTCGAGAAAAAGTAAGTGAAAAAGGTGAAATAAGTAATCATTACTCGAAGTAATTACCAGATTCGTCGTTAAGATATACAATGTTGCGGCACTTCCGGCACTCGTACTCGCACTTTCCCTCGCGCTAATGTTTAGATGAGGAAACTCATATTAGAAAAATGAAAGAACGTCTAATGATGGAACTCACGAGAACTCATAACAGGAATAATTATCATGACGTTCTCTTACGACTGGTTATAATCACGCACCTGTTCGCCACACCTCCACACGACTTGCCGGTCCGTGCTCGACTCTCTATCCTTTTTTTGCGACCCTTCGTCCGGGGGATGAGTCTTTCTTGTATCGATTTCTCTCCTTCGTACGGACACGCAATTTTTCGATGACGCAATTTTTTACGATGACGCAAGA